GTTTTGATTTGTCAGACTGATGGCATGTTTCTTTCCATTCCTATCTTCTAAACAGCTAAAGCACCTCCTAAAGGAAAATAATATACTTCATTAATATCTCTTTCATCGGCTAATTTAATTATAAGTGTAATTTTCTGATGCCATCAAAACTCCAGCGGTTACTCATTGTTACTTATCATCAAATGCACTGTAATATTATAGTAACGTTAATCTAATCAAGTCTTTGGGCTATAAACTGTCATGAGAATTCAATTTTATTAATTTGATGGAGAGAATTGAAAGTTATGTACTATGTTGCATCAAATACAACTTTTATTGTTTATGTTTAAACTATTTTTCTGCTTATTGGTACCTGTCTGTTAAGATGGTCTCACAAATGCAACTTATTTAATTCATCCTTCATCGCATCAAGTTGTTTGTTCTGATAAACTTGCATTTATGACTGTTAGATGCCCCTTCAATATCATCTCTCATTGTTACTTTTTGAACTTCTGACTTTAAATAAAAGTGCGGTAAATATTTAGAAGCTCATTCAAATCTTTACCAATTTATCTTATAAACACTTTTCAAACTCGATGGTTTTAAATTAAATTTCTTATACTATATACTTTCGTTTTTGAATTATCAAAAAGGCAAATTAAAAATTCTCTTGCTGCACTATGTAAAATTTTGATCAGTAATTTTTAGAGTGTTTACTCATATCAATAATTTCATAGTCCTTGTAAAACAAGTTGAGGGCTAAATTAATTCTAAATACAACATTAATTTTATTAATAGTGTCACATCTAACAATTATTGCAGCTTACTCTCGCAGAATAGGAGTTTGCTAAGAACGCCACTAATTTCAACAACATCTATTTGTTTATGATGCTTTGTTATTTATTCTGTATTTTCATCTTAGTGCAACCCACTTGCATCGACTGATGAATTTAATGCAGTTTTTTCAATCTTAAACAATTTATAAATTTTGCCTTCCTAAAGTTCCATAAACAACTTGTTATGATCAGTCATTAGAAAGAACTATAGGTACAATCCTGTATTTCAAGCAGCCAACTTATTTTAAATATTTTTACTCTTGCTTGTAGCAATGATGCATCATTCATATTAAGTTTGTGTTAACTAAAAGTTGCACTACGCCAAGGCATCATATTATAATTTTACACTAAGGTAAATATCCATTTGCTTTATGATAACTCTCAAGACCCTAAAAATACTAACTAAAATTTGTATTCCATCAAAGTAAATTAGTACTTTCAGTATTCTAGTTTCTAATAACAAGAACTGAAAATCTTGTGCAGACCCAAATTTATTATTATTCCCTAAGTCTTTATGCTTTAGTTACAGTAGTTACCCAGCGCTAAAATTTTGGCTCCCTGTTAACAACACAATCCTTTTTCTAAGGAGACTAGAAAGCCATCATTTGTGTATTACTTGCTAATATATTGATCTGCTTGTGATCCATCCTAATAAAATTGGATAAGATAATTATTGACCCATTTTTGTGTACCATTTTTACTTTCCACTACATCTTTCTCTTTGAGTCAATTTTAAAATTATTGCTCAGCAAATTCTAATGGTACTTATTATTTCATTTATCATGGATAAATGCTTATATGCTTACTCGTTTGATATTAAGCATTCATTACAGAATTTAAGGGTAGTTATATCAAGCACATAATTCATAAATGAAGAGAGACTATGCGAAAATCAACCTATGATTTTATAGTTCGTGTTTCTGGGATATTTATTAGACCCACCTTTATTCTTTATATGCTGAAGATTCATCAATTAGGGTCCCCATTTGATGTTTACTGAACCATCTCTAATTGTTCAAACTTCTACTGCTATTCTAGCACAGTAAGAATATGTCCCATTTGTTAATTTCTATCCATCTATTGCATCAAATGATAAATTAGTTCAATTCTGAAATTAAATGTTAGAAAAAGGTGTTTAACAATATTTGAGAGTGTATAANATCTTATAAACACTTTTCAAACTCGATGGTTTTAAATTAAATTTCTTATACTATATACTTTCGTTTTTGAATTATCAAAAAGGCAAATTAAAAATTCTCTTGCTGCACTATGTAAAATTTTGATCAGTAATTTTTAGAGTGTTTACTCATATCAATAATTTCATAGTCCTTGTAAAACAAGTTGAGGGCTAAATTAATTCTAAATACAACATTAATTTTATTAATAGTGTCACATCTAACAATTATTGCAGCTTACTCTCGCAGAATAGGAGTTTGCTAAGAACGCCACTAATTTCAACAACATCTATTTGTTTATGATGCTTTGTTATTTATTCTGTATTTTCATCTTAGTGCAACCCACTTGCATCGACTGATGAATTTAATGCAGTTTTTTCAATCTTAAACAATTTATAAATTTTGCCTTCCTAAAGTTCCATAAACAACTTGTTATGATCAGTCATTAGAAAGAACTATAGGTACAATCCTGTATTTCAAGCAGCCAACTTATTTTAAATATTTTTACTCTTGCTTGTAGCAATGATGCATCATTCATATTAAGTTTGTGTTAACTAAAAGTTGCACTACGCCAAGGCATCATATTATAATTTTACACTAAGGTAAATATCCATTTGCTTTATGATAACTCTCAAGACCCTAAAAATACTAACTAAAATTTGTATTCCATCAAAGTAAATTAGTACTTTCAGTATTCTAGTTTCTAATAACAAGAACTGAAAATCTTGTGCAGACCCAAATTTATTATTATTCCCTAAGTCTTTATGCTTTAGTTACAGTAGTTACCCAGCGCTAAAATTTTGGCTCCCTGTTAACAACACAATCCTTTTTCTAAGGAGACTAGAAAGCCATCATTTGTGTATTACTTGCTAATATATTGATCTGCTTGTGATCCATCCTAATAAAATTGGATAAGATAATTATTGACCCATTTTTGTGTACCATTTTTACTTTCCACTACATCTTTCTCTTTGAGTCAATTTTAAAATTATTGCTCAGCAAATTCTAATGGTACTTATTATTTCATTTATCATGGATAAATGCTTATATGCTTACTCGTTTGATATTAAGCATTCATTACAGAATTTAAGGGTAGTTATATCAAGCACATAATTCATAAATGAAGAGAGACTATGCGAAAATCAACCTATGATTTTATAGTTCGTGTTTCTGGGATATTTATTAGACCCACCTTTATTCTTTATATGCTGAAGATTCATCAATTAGGGTCCCCATTTGATGTTTACTGAACCATCTCTAATTGTTCAAACTTCTACTGCTATTCTAGCACAGTAAGAATATGTCCCATTTGTTAATTTCTATCCATCTATTGCATCAAATGATAAATTAGTTCAATTCTGAAATTAAATGTTAGAAAAAGGTGTTTAACAATATTTGAGAGTGTATAATACAATCCGAAATGTTACCCTTCCATTCTTCAAATGAATATTTAAACATTTCAGGTAGCCCCAAGTGTATAAATCAGATTGAGAATGGATAAAAGAGCTTTTTTATATTAACTTGTAGACTAGTAGATATAAAGATAAGGTTGGCTAAGCTTACAACCAGAGTCAGAGGCAAGCAGTATGCACGTAATTCAGCGCACAAGGAACATGTTAAATTATAAATTTAAGATTGACATTTAAACCAAATAAAATTGAATAAACACTAAAATGCCTCAACTGTAGTCCAAGTTTGAATTGGCACCTATTAACAACATCAAATATTGAGTGTCCTTGAAACTATCAAATTATGATGCATATCGTGAAGGGGCGAAGCACCACAGTGTGTTTATTTGGTGATTAAGTAGCCGCAAAAATGTAAAAAAATAAATTATACAAGCAATAAATCATAATGCAATATCAATAGTATTTATGACATAAATTAATAGAATTAACTTTTTAATTAATGGAACTAGGCAAGGACGCAATTAGAAAGGAGAAGTAATTTACTAATCAAGTTGTAAGCATCACAATGAGAAATAATATTAGATCTTATACAAATAATACCAGTAATGTAGTTTCTAGCCTCATAAAGAAATAATATGGCTTACAGTGTTTAGTAGCACAGGAAGCACATTGCTGTGATTAAGTGGATAGTTTTATGGTTAACTTAAGATCACTTAACATGAATTATATGTGTATTAACACACACAATTTTTCAAAATGTCACGCCAATAATGTATAGCACAGTAGGAGAGCAAGGAGCATCTCCTATATCTGGTATTCAATATATACTGTTCAATATTGAGAAGTTAGAAGTCTAAAAATCTAACTATAGGATGGGGTATATAAAGACACCAGCATATTGCTATACGAAAAATAATCAAAAACTTTTTAGAAAAATACGAAATTTGGATAAGATAAATAATGATAATTGGTTATTGCACAGTTGAAGTAAGGATCAAGCAAAAAATAACGCATGACTTGTTTTAGACTGTATTAAGTGGCTTTATCATCTAATTTACTAATATGACATTATCAACCAATTGAATAAATCAATAAAAAATTATATTAAGAAGTTTAAGTCTGATAGGATTGCTATAATCAAAGCAATTTAAATTTAGAATGTTGTTGACTTTACTTACAAATAAATCAATTTGTAACTCAATTCCTTTTTATATATGTTTAAATTAACTATCTTTAAATTATTTCTTTATTTTCTTTTTTGACTTAATCTACAATTTTATGACCTAGTTTCTATTAATATTCTCATTACATCTTAATTATCAACTTCCAAAGTCCCCAAAATACGAAATACTTTTGGACATAAACTATTCGACATTAATCAAATAATTTTTACATAATGATTAAAATGAATTAATTCAATTGGAATCAATTTTAGTATCTATTTTTCTAATCAATTGGATCGTCATGAAGATTATTATTCATATCAAATATTTCATTTTTAAAAATCACAATTCCTATTTTTTCAAACATTATTTTACTATTGGATATACAGAATCGCAATAGCCTAAAAGATGGCTATACTTAATTTCTTTAATGCTGTAATGAATTTAATAGTTGAGTTTAAGGTTTGTTATACAATCTTATTTAGCTAAGTGAATTTTCAATTCTCTCCAAACCTTTCTCAATTGGATTTAATTGAGGACTATATGGAGGTAAATAGATATGTTACATATTTTAGGACCTCTTTCTAAATTGAGAATTCCTTATGAACTGATGCATTATCTAAGATAAACATATAATTTCTTAAACCATACTGTTTATTACATTATGTAGTTAATCTTATCAAGCAATCCTTAATTAATTTTGAGTTAACATTGCCTTTAACGCATTAAAACAGTAAAAGATCATTCCCGATTGCACCAATAATATTAATTCTGTTTTTAACTTAAACCTTGTCAATTTTCATGGGGATTTGACCAATTTCACATTCCAGATATAAATTGGATGACTAATGCATTGTACACACTTCACCCCAATCATTCTTTATTCAAAATTCAATTCTAGAGTGCATTTCAATATTATCCTAAGACGATATCAATTGATATTTAGGATCATTTAATCATTTAAAACATCCTTTGGAAGATCAAAGCAAGGAAGAATTTTTGAGAGATCTAAAGTCTAGGCTAATTCAGACAAGAAATAGATTGAAATTCGAAAAGATTTAAAAAAACAGAAAAAAATGATTGAAAAGAAAAAATTAATTGAATTATTAAATGTACATGTTGAATCAATGATAAAAAACTAATTCCAAAACCTACCAAGAAGAATATTTAATTTCAAACACAATCAGTGTAGAGTACATATTACTTTCGTGGTAAAATTCAACCTCCAAATTTAGAAACCAATAAATCAATTTGATCATCAGTAAATATATTTTTGTTAAATTGCAACATAGAAAAATTTTGTTTTTAACTAAATAGAAGTTATTGTTTGGGCAAGATGAGAGGCGAGAGTGTTGCTTCAGAAAAAATGTTATTTCATATACGCAATTAGAATAATTTAGGTAAATAAGGAGGAGAAATCTAATGTAGAAGTACTTATTCCCTTTCTTGTTTTGTTAAATTTTTAAAGCATAGAAGGATCAACTTAAGAAGTTAATACATTACTTAATAAAAATATGTCAAGTACTTGTAGAATAGAAAATTTGAATAAATGATATGCTATTTTGCGAGAATATAAAATAGTTTCAATGTTTAGATTATTTTGTTAAAATAATAGATTTTATTAAATATTAATTTGATTTTAGAAAAAATGATATATGGGTTAATTTTATAAAAAATACATTAAAATAACTTAGAAAGAATAACAATATTGTAGATAATAAAAAGTTAAAGAATCAAGATTAAATTGATATGTGTTTGGAAATTTATTAAATAAAAGAAATTATTAAAATATAAATGAATTTTGCAGTTTCATTTAATATAGAAGTTAAAGAAAATTAGTTAGGTGAAAAAATAACAGAATTTAATAAAATTTGAATAGAGAACAAACCAAAGTAAAATGAAAGATAAAAATAACAATCAAAATTGATTTGATTATATATTATAATACTAGAGTTAGTAGTGGTAGACGATACAATTATTACATGCCACAGATGTAGATGAGGGGATTTCCAAGGTAGTTGCTAAATCATATGATTTTAGTAGAAAAATTAAAAACTACTGAATTTATCAGATAGTAGAGAAGTAGAATTGAAGGGATCTAAATATTTCTCAAGTATTATCTTAGAATCGGAGCATAAATTTTAGAAAAAGAAATTATTCCTTAGTATCTAGTCAGAGATATTTGCAAAGTACCATGATTTACATCATTAGGTTTATAATAGTAATAATAATAATGATGTGAAAAAAATGATCATTCCTTGTCTTTTTTAACAAAAAGTTCACATT